TTATTCGCGTTTAAAATCGAACGTCCGTGAAAAATTTCTGCCATAAATTTTCTGTAATTCTGGCCAGAATTATGAAAGAACTTTTCACCGGAATGATACACATATTAAATATATCTTAATTCTTAAAAAATAACACATGCGGATGATCTGCATAATCAGCGGATAAAATGAATAAATACATCTAATTTTATATTTGAAACTAGCGAGTATTTTGTTTTGAAATGGAAACTATTTTTCAATACCAAAGCAGTACAAGTGACAACGAATCAGATAATGAAATAAAGTTAAATCCACAATTGAATACTACCATCAATTTAAAATCCTTCGAAGAAAGGAATAATTTGTCAAAAACAACTAACCATTTCAATTTTGATAAGTCGCAACAAGAAACGAGAGACTATGGTAAAAAGATCAAAGGATATGTATCGAAACGGATAAAGCTTCAAGAGGTTAACGAAAAAAATTTAGAATCACAACAAAAAGAAAAAGAACAAATATCTTCAGGTAGGAATTATTTATTTGATTGCGTTTAAGATCTTTTTTTATTAAACAAATCGGCACTCCTAAATCCCTACTTATAGATTCAAACCTATTGTCACCTTTTAGGACAAATTTACTTGATCTACCTAATCGAATTCAATCCGCATTGGACGAAAAACAAGATGTTATTCATAAAACAATCCCTAAAAAACAAATAATTTCGCTTCCAAAAGAGCATACGAAAGGAGTAAACGTCTTATTATGGTGCGGTTCTTTTGGTATATGGTTATGGTTTTTGTTAATTATATGGTTTTTGTTAATTATATGGTTTTGTTAATTATATGGTTTTATTAATTATATGACTTAATTTTTTTTAATATTTAATTATCATATTTAATTATCAAGGACAATTATTGGCTTCAGCATCAATGGATGGCACTGTTAGAATTTGGGATGTTTTTAGATCAAAGGAATGTGTAAGAGTTATTAATCACGATGGTAAAGGCAAAAGATTTAAGATTCTAAAAAATGAATTTAATTTTTATTCTCATAAATAAAGCTTTGAATATAATTAATATAATTAATATAATTAATATAATTAATATAATTAATATTGTTAATATTATAGGGGCAGTGAAAGATGCAAAATGGGATAATTTTCGTAACAATATTCTTTCCGGAGGATACGATAAGATTGTAAAGTTAACTAATGTAGAGACGGGAACCTCAATACAGGCAAGATTAATTATTATTTGTTTGAAGTAAATTTAATAGAATTATATTTAAAATTATATTTAGAATTATATTTAGAATTATATTTGACGTTATATATTAATCTCTCAACACAATAGTCGTTTCCTCATCCACAAGTTGTTACTTCACTTCGATATCATCCCAAACAACCAAATGTTTTCGTTTCAGGAATGATGAAAGATGGTATACGAACGTGGGATTTACGTTCCAATAAGATCGTAAAAGAATCCAGAAAGTTTTGGGGTAGTGTTAATGATATTGAGTTTTTTCCTGATGGAATTAATCTACTTTGTTGCTCCGATTATGTTGTAAGAAATTCATCTGATAAAAATATAATGGTTTGGGATATAAATTCTGTAAATATTTTAAAATATTCTAAAGATTTTTATATTTTTAAACATTTCTTCATTATAATTATTTTAATTATTTTAATTTTTAAAATATTATTATTTTTTTTCTTTTGAGTGAATAGATGACATCAATTTCGAATCAAATATATCAAGAAGCATTCTCTTGTACTGCTCTTAGAATGCAACCATTGCATACTCACTTCGTTGCTCAATCGAATGGGAATTATATTGCAATTTTTAATAGTGAAAAACCTTGGAGATTGGACAAAAGAAAGGTAAATTTTTGTCCCATCATTATTAATTATAAATCTTCATTCTAATCTTTTACAATCATAATATATTCAAAAAGCGTTATGAAGGTCATCTTGTGAATGGATATCCTATTCGATGTAATTTTTCACTTGAACCAGATCCGGGACGATACTTGGTTTCAGGAGATGCAAACGGTAGATTATTTTTTTATGATTGGTTTTCTTCTAAAATTGTAAAGATAATGGAGGATGCACATAAAGATGCATGTACAGATGCATGTTGGCACCCATTATTAAACGGTATGGTGGCTAGTTGTGGTTGGGATGGAAAATTAAAAATTTGGGGTTAATTTTTGATTCTTTTAATTAAGAGAGTTACTTATATGGAAAAGTCACTTTTTATCCAATCACGATCGTTGTTTTGATCAAGATCCCCGATTGTGATTGGCTCACCTTGAGATTTATAAAAAATAATTCATGTATTTCACAACTTATTCTATTTCTTTCTTTTCTCTAAAGTTCAATAGCTCAATATTTTTATTTGCTTTTTTTGTATTTTTAGTTCAGTTTAGTAATAAAAAAAGAACTTTAGTTAGTAGCCAAAGGTGTATTTCCATATATATCTTATTCATTTTACATAATAGTAACGACAATATTCGTGTAACAGATTGTTGATCATTTATTTTCAATTTACAATTTTTAATTAATGGAATTAATGACTGATAGTAATCATAATAATAATAACAAAACAATGTTCGTTACTGTAGGTTCAACAAGATTTGACCAAATTATTAACCTCGTAATATCATTGTCTTTTCTTGATGCATTAAATTCAAAGGGATTTAGAAAATTAATTATTCAATATGGAAAAAGTGTTAAAATTTATCATGATGCAATTCATTCAATTCAATCTCGGCAAAACAATGAAATAGAAATTGTTGGTTATGATTATAAAACGTCATTAGATCAAGATATGGTCGAATCTGATTTGATTATAAGTCATGCAGGTTAAAAAACTTTAATTTTAAAATGAAAATTTTTAATTTAATTTTTTTTTTTTTAGTTAGAATTTTCCTTGTGAATTAAAGGTTCAGGGTCAATATTAGAATGCCTACGTCTAAAGAAACCTTTGATCGTAGTGATAAATGAAAATTTAATGGGAAATCATCAAGTTGAACTTGCTATTGAACTTCAGAACAAAGGATATCTAGTTTATAGTTCTATCAGGTATAAATTAAATATTTTAAAAGTTTTCTTTATATTATTTTACTGTCAATAATGTTATTAATATTGATTCAAATTTTAAGTAATCTTTTAGAACTTTTCCAATCCGATAAATACTTCAATTCGGTCTCTTTTCCAAGATCCGATGAGACAATTTTTATAGATATTTTGAATGAAGAAATGGGATTATATTAATTATATTAATATCATTTTTCTTATTAATCTTGTTGATTTTATTATCATTTCGAAAAAAAGTTTTTTTTTTTGATATTTGATTATATTAAATTTCATTATTAATTATTTATTGAGTGAATTTTTGCTTGAATTTAAAATACAACGCCGGTAAGGCATTTTTTTTTAAAAAAAACTATAATTATTACTCTACTAGTAAAGTACTTTTGGTGTTTTATGTAAAGAAAAATACATAAGTAAAATGCAAGATTGAAATTTTGTATATGTCATAAAAAGATCATTCAGCAGCGAACGAATGATATGCATCCCGAGAAAAATAAACGAATAAAATCGAAAAAATGCGAAATTATAAATTCTATCTAAGGGAAATATGCCTTCTAGGCAATATTACCCAGCGTTAATCTATATATACTGTATATAAAAAAAATTCTATACTAAAAACAAAAAATTTGTGAATATTATTTGCTACACTCATCGTCACTCCCATTTGACTTCATAAAAAAAAATCATAATTTTGCGCTTAATAAAGAAATACGGAACTCACTTATTTCTATTCTTCTTTCTATCATAATATTATATTATAACATATTTATATTTCTTTTTGCTTAAATTATTCAAATTATTCATATTTTTTTTTTTTAAAAAAAAGGCCATACTGGCCCCATCCACGACGTCACAAATTTATGGTAGTGCCCACAAGTCGCTGGGGTGTGAATGGTGAACATGATAAACCAAACCCCCCTTACTACCATATGTTTTTTGGCAGCCGTGAACAGTACACGGCCAGGGCTTAGGACGCCCCCCATCGCTGCTCTGATTAAAATAAATTAAATTTAGTAAAGATATTTCAAAATAAATAAAATATGTCATTTACTATTTATTTACTTACTTGAGGGACGTGACCATGTTCGTTGTGGTATTTTAATCCATTGGCATTTTTATATGCCTTTGGACATCCGGGCACAGGGCACTTATATGGATACATGTCTGTATCCTCCCGAGAGTCAGCTGACAGAGGAACAGGTGCCTGCAAAAAGTAATTTACATAATTTAATAACAAATTTTAAATAGGAAAACTACGTAACAAAAAAGTTTTCTTTTATATAACCTTTGCTCTTTTTTTGTTCGGACGAGGGTCTTCCGAGCTGGCCGAGGCCCTTTTGTTGCCCTGCGAAGGACCACCAGAGTAACCGAGAGAGGGATCGGTGTACACATCAGCCATTGAAACCGATATGTCTAATTAAGTAACAAAAAGCTTAATAACTTGATAAAGTCTTAAATATTAATTATGATTAAATTAAAAGTGAACTTACCAGACTTCGGTTGGATGGGTGGATATCTGGCCACGACGAAAGAAGAGCTGTGCCCGGACCTAAGCCCTGGCCTTCCAGTATAACCGTCGACTGTATTATCGACCGATGTTAAAGAATTGTTGCCTAACGTTACTTGATCTGTCGTTGCCGCTGCAGGCGACGAATTGCTATTTGCTTGATAATAATTTGTGTATGAATTATTTGTCGGTGAAGATGAATAGGTAGTCTGTTGAGAACTACTATTGTCGGACAAGAAAGTCGGTATCGTTAGAGAGCCATATGAAGATTGCTGCTGGTTCATATTGTTCTGCAGATCGCTCATCGACGGGGGACATTGATTAATTGTAGCGGTAGTAGTAGTCGTTCCGCTATTAATTGTAGCAGAAATAGCAGTCGTGCCGTCATTAATTGTAGTAGCCGTGCTGTTATTAATTATAGCAGTAGTCGTGCCGTTATTGAGACCAATTGTATTGTACAATCGTTGATTGATTCTCCCAGCCGTAAAGGCCGTTTGGCGTTGACTAAGTATTCTTGCGGTCAAATGGTTATTAGATTGACGTTGACCCATTAAGTTTAATCTAGAAGAAGCGGTAGTGCCAGTAATAGAAGACTGACGTTGATACATTGCATTTATGTTTGCTGTTGAAGAATTAGCAGTAGTTGTAGTGTTACGGCTTATGGGAGATTGACGTTGATCCACTGTATTTACGCTGGTTGTTGAAGACGTGGCAGTATTTCGATTGATGGGAGCCCGATGTATTTGCTCCATTGTTACTCTTGGAGATGTAAAAGCAGTGGCAACGACAGAACTAGAAGGTCGATATTGAGATGTTTGGATTCCTCTTGAAGAAGTGGCAGAAACGGCCGTATTGTCAACAATAGAATATTGACGTTGATCAGCGCCGGTATTAAAAGCAACAGGTGATTGATATTGCCTTAATCTTGCATTCAAAGGAACATGACCGAATCTTGCGGCTGAAGGTGCATTGGTGGCCTTATTAAAATTCATGGGCGATTGATGGTCGAATCTTGCAGCATTAATGACAGCATTGGACGTAACGGAAGATTGACTTTGACCAGTTGAGTTAACTCGCGTGGCCGAAGAAGCAGTGGTGGCAGCAGTATTAAAAATAGCGGAGGGTTGATTTTGATCAATTAAGTTAAAATTTGTAGTCAAACTAGCAATTGGTGAAGCAGTTACGCCACTATCGAGATTGACAGATGATTGACTTTGATCCGTTGAACTTAAGTTTGTTATTGAATAAGAAACAGCAACACTGGTATTGTCTGATTGACATTGGCCAACAGAGTTTGAAATATTACTAGGAGTAGTTGACGGACTTGTCGAATAAGAAACATTAGATCCATCATTAGGAGTAGTCGAATAAGAAACATTGGATCTAATATTAGGTGAACTTGTCGAGTAGTTTAAACTCGTAATTGAAGAACCAGTAGCGCCATTATCTGGTGAACTTGCTGTCGAAGAAATTGGAACGCTGGCATTATTTATAGATGAAGGTGATAACGATGTCATTTCCTGATTTTCCATTTCCAACGCTGGAATAAGATCCAACGGAGAAGGAGCATCTAAAGCATCTCTAAGATCTAATGGGGTAGGGGCATCTCTAAGATCTAATGGTGAAGATGGGGAGTATGGAGACGTCAAGTAGAAATCATCATCATTTTTATTGTTCGCTTTCGCTTTCATCGCCAAAAGGTCATTATCAGAAAGCGCTGTTGGACCAAGAAAGGGAGTAGCAGTTTTAGGATCTCGTAAAGCACCAGGTAACGTATTGCATGATTCGTCGTCCCGTGATTGAGACAAATCATCAGATTGTCCGATATCACCAAACCATTTACTCATAGAAGCTACGAGTTGATTCATTTGATTATTTCGCTCTTCCTCCGTTAATTGATGATCCTTTTGAATTGAAATATTTGGAAAAGACGGAGCTTCTAGAAATGAGACAGGAATCGTACTCGGCGAAATTGCTGTCAGATTGAGGAAATTTTTTATCGTTAGTAAAGTCTAATGGGAATTGCAAAATGAGAAAATCAGGTGACATACATTGGGGCGAGTATATTGTGCTTGTGTCAAAAGACATAATTCCATAAGTGGAATCAACGAATAGATTCGGATGAACAGTGTCAATGTGTTGAAAAAGATCGTGTAAATTAACCCGATCTTCACCACAGCATGTGTAATATTGGCGATAGGGAAGAAATTGCTGAGGAGCCATTGCGTTTTGGTCCGCAGTATAAAATACTTGAGCCGCATTACTAGCATTATTAGCGTTATTAGCGTTATTAACGGCCGCAACAATATATTCCGGCATATTACTAGAAGTAAAAAAATAAGATCAACGATGAATAGACCAAAATTACCAAAAAAGGAAAAAAAATAATAAGTATACTTTAACAATAAAACATATAAGACATGTAACGAGAGACGACAGAAAATATGAAAAATAGCTTTGTAACAACAAAAAAAGCAACTGAAGAAGACAGAAAGAATAAATAATAATATAATATAATTAAATACTTGGTTGAGGAACCCGAGATCTGAATGGGAGGAATTGGCGACGACGTCATGGCAATAGAACCATTAGGATTACTAGGATTAGATGGCTCAGTTGCGTGAGGCATTTTTAATTGCGAGAAAGAAAATAATAAAAATTCGATCGAGATCGGATTAGATGATAATGATAAGGAGAAAGGAGAAAGGGATGACGGTTTCTAGGAATAACAGTCGACGGATGAGAGAGAGACGAAAAGGAGTAAAGGAAAAAAAAAAAAAAAAGACGAAATCCCTTATATATATAATTTTGGGGTGTAGATGAACAGTCTTTGCGTAACGGTTGTGTGTTTCATTTACAAGTGAAACCGTTAGCAGTTTAGGGAATGGTCAGGTTTCAGTTAAAAAATAAAATCAAATGATTTTGATCGTGAGAAATTTATCAGTCGGGAATTGTTTATTTTTTTTAATAGATTTTATAAATATTTCTTTTTTTTTTTTTAAAAAAAAAAAAAAATAATAATAATAATAATAAAAAAGGTTTATGACGTTTTATGACGTGAGGGGACAAAAGGGGAAAGGGGGAAGTGGGTTTTTAAGACCCCAATTGCAAAGTATTAAAGTCGTTACGAAGGGTCGTTAAACACTCGTCGTTAATGATAATAAGGGAGGCCAAAGAAATTTGTTGGTAATTTACCAAAGTGGCATATAAATATATATATGTAGTAAAAAAAAAAAAAAATTTAAAGTACATAGAGAAATATACTAACCTAACTAAATTACATCAAATAATCAAATAATAGTAAAATACAGTAAATCGTAGGCTGAAAAGATGATCAACAAAAAAAATAACATAAACACAACACAGAGAACAGAATACATGCATATACACATTTTGACATGTATTTATGCCTATAATATCTATAATATAAAAAATACAACATTGTTTTTGTTTGCATTGAATATCAGAGATAAAAAATTGTTGAAAAATAAATGATTAGATTTATAATCTGATAAAATAAGAAATATGAATAATGGCGGTTGGGCGGTGTGATTTGTTTTAATAATTTTAATAATTGTAATAATAAATTATTATAATTATAAATAACTGATAAAATGTATATTATAATAAATATATAAAGTTAATATAATGTTTAATATAAAGAGTATAAATAAAATGTATATATTAGCTAGATGATGTATGATGTAGTTATACAACACACCACAATAAGGAATTTCTTTGATAATGACATAATACAATAGCAAAAATGTCATTTTAATTTACCAATGGTAATTTAGAAAATGAAACTATTATGTAATTTAATCTATGAAAAGAATTTCTGAAGGCCCAAGAATTCGGACTTTCAGATGTTTAAAATTTTTATTGGTAACAATATTTTAATATTTAAAAAAAAATATAATATATATATTTCTTTTAAAAAAAGCCCGGATATTGGGCTTTGTTAAATTTCACAAACTGCATATGGTAAGCTTTCATAAGACTATAACATTAGAAAGACCCAGTTATTTGGGCTTTGTTCTATTTTTTTTTCTTGAAAATGAACATTATTGTGGCGTTTAATTATTTCCTTTGAAAATTTGAAAGTTCATTATACATATTCACATTTAATAATAAAATAATAATAAAATACGGTTTTTTTCCATTGTATTTTGTCTATTATTTTTATAAAATTATCTTTATTAGTAAATTTCATAACATAATAAAAGACATAATAGAGGACATAATAGAAAACATAATATATTATAAACTAGATTGTTTTTTTTACGGCGGTTGCGGTTATCGTGAAACCATGATTCAACCATTCAAATTCGTATCTGTTTTTGGTAATTTGGAGTAAATTGTCAATATATTATCTCATTCATTTTATTCAAGTTATTATTTGGGGAGAGTGCGGCAAAATTAATCAATCTTTTTAACTTTAAAAGGAAAATTTCATTATTAGTGGGGGAGGGCTAAAATAATCAGTAATCAGTATTATGTTTCTCCTTAGCCAACTCCATTGGAGACAAACATTCCTCTTGCATTACATACATTACAGAAATGCAATATTAATAGTATCACGTGTAAATAAATGTACCAGTTCAATCCATCTCAATCGGTTTCAAATCGTAACATTGGCACTCAACGTACATTTTACAACATCATTCATCTTGCATTTTTTACATATACAACTCTTTATTTGTAAAGTACAATATATATATATAATTGTGTTTATAACATAAATAGTTAATATGCTACAATAAACTGTATAATATAAATAATATACTATAATAATATACTTGTATAATATAAATGTACAATTAAATAGAATTTTGAGGGTTTTGAGGGGTAAAATATAAATTGAGCTGCAATAAAATCAATAAAATCAATAAAATCAATAAAATCTTTCTTTAGATATTTTATTAGATTATTATATTTGTTGACATTGCATTTGTTGAGCAGCCAATCCGGTCATTTAATTACAAATTTATTTCTCATTTTATTACTATAACAACATAACAACCGTAACAACAATAACAATACACACATTCAAACACCATAAGAAAATAACTGACATTTGACGCCCACGTTGTCATAACAATCAGAAATAATAAAGATTTTTCACGTTTTTTTTTTTTTTTTTTGATAAAGTTTAATAATCAATTATTATCTAGCTAAGGTTAAAAAATATATTAAATTAAATGAGGAAATTTTCATTCATTCCATTCATTTCTAGATGCATGAATTCACCGATCTGTAAATTTTTACGCCAAATACACTCTATCAATCATTCCGCGACATAACTGATAATTGTTAGATATTAAAGAATAATTTATTAAAATTATATTGTAATATGTTTTTATTAAAACTTATTATAAATATAATACCAATTTGGATAGAGGTATAGTGAGATTATTAATATTAATGTCATTAAGAAAATAAAGTAAGCAACAATGTTTTCAGTTTGAGTAATTATAATTTATTTGTTTTATTGAATGATTGATGCCATCCAGAAATCAATTCAAGACCATTGATCATGTGAGTGATCTAGAAACTCTAACACCAAGGGAAAATCAGAAAATCTAAATAACACAGAACTCCTATAATAGTAATCTATTCTCAATTTTCTGGTCAAGTAAAAGTCATGTGCCAGAGATATGAACCAATTGGAAATTATAATTGGATGAATGGTGTTTTACTTTTTTACTACATTTTACCTTTCAAGAAAAGAACCAAATATAAAGCTTAAGAACAATTTTTATAATCTTACTTAAATATAATTAAAATGTTCTTAGGTATGTTGTTTTGCTACATCTCAATACATTTTTACATAATTTATTTTGCAATAAAAAATAAATTTATAATCTCTTTTTTATATATATATTGATTTTTAATTTTGGTATATTTCATCTTTTTGAAATTTACTCAGAATCTATATAAATAAAAAAAATATCCAATTAGGTATGTTTTTAATTAAAGAATTTAAATTGAGTTTTAAAAAAATTTTCATCTTCTATATAAAATAATTTTAACTTTTTTCAAAATTAATTTTGAAGTTATACATATAAATTCCAGATACAGATATAATCTAAATTTTTATAATTTTTATAATTTTATTTTTTTTTATCAAGTATAATATTATAACATATCAAAATTATGCATGTTATCAAAAGTAAAAAGTCTTTCAATTTTGATTTTTTAATTTTTAATTATATTTAATTTAATAATTGTATTAATTTACTATATAAAAATAAAGACTTAACTTAATTTTTTTCAATTTTAATTGTCTAACTCAATTCAATAGTTTTAATAACATATATAATTGAATTATAATTTTATTAATCTCTATGAATATATGTGATATGCACTGGTCAAAATTTGGCATATTAGGTATCTATTGGATACCTATTATAGTATCCGATAGGTATCTGATATATATTTTTTTATATATATCAGATATCCAATAAGTGTCATTTTATTTCCTAATATTTTTTGACTATTTTTTTTATATTAATTAGGTACCTGATTTTTTTATTCAATATATATTTTCCCTCTGATAGATATTTGATATTTTTTTATTATACCTATTGGATCCTCTGATACTTTTATTTATTACATTTGTCAGGTACCCAATAAGTATAGTAGTCATACTGTATTCAAATACTTTTTTTAAATAAATTATACAAATTAATAGCTTTACTTATTATTGTACAAATTTTATACAATTTTATATAATATATATATAATATACCTAATAACCATTTATTTTTATTAATATAATTATTATTGCATATAATAAATGTATGAAATTTTAAATATTTTAAAAATATACTATTATAATAAAAATATAAAAAATTTAAAATATTCAAATGTTCTAAAAATATATTATTATTATTACTATTATTAAATATTCATTATAAAATTGTTTATTTTCTTTGATTTTTTTTATTTTTTTTATTTTTCTTTGATATTTTATGATCATGTTTTCTTTTATTTTTTGATGATAATAATGATGATATTCAGTTTCATTTTCTTTTTCTTTTATCAATCACAATTAAATTATCATTATTATCGTCATCATCTTCTTTCTCTTTTTCAATATCTTGATCATATATTTTATTTTACTTTTATCTCTATTTTCAGATATTAATACTTCTTCACTAACATCAGGAAATTTTTTCTAATGAAAATCTTCGAAAGTTAATATTAACATAAGTATTTTGCTGTTTTTCAATATGTTATCCTTCGAAGGTCTTCGCTAACCTTCAAAGGTTATCAATTTTGATATTTTCACATGTCAAAATTTTGCGAATATTATCGTTTTTGTAGTAAATTCATATTGATAACCTTCGAAGATTATCGATTTTAATATTTTCATATATAAAATTTTATGAATATTATTGTTTTCATAGTAAATTCATATTGATAATCTTCGAAGGTTATTGATTTTGATATCTTTATGTACAAAATTTTGTAAATATTATTATTTTTGTAATAATTTCGTATCAATAACCTTCGTTTATGTTAGATATTCATAATATATCATTTCGATAATCATCACTTGTATTTATATTATTGCGATTTTTAATCGACATTGCACTGTCAATGATATCCTTCAGAAGTTTATCG